AACAGCTACTTACTGTTGTGAGGAGCCGGTTTCCTTAAGTTTCTAAAAGGGGCCAATGGCCTAAGCTAGTTTCATATAAAAGGGGAGCTGCAGGGATTCTGGCCATCATATACAGCATCTGCTTATTCATAAAATACTCAAATTTAAAAGGTTTATTTATTTCTTGATGTGGACTTTTTCTTTATATGTGGACTCGGGGATTAGCTGAAACTCTCAGATTCAGAAAGAGCATAATTTAGGAGCTCTTGAATATACGTAAGCTGCCAGGACACACCAGTCAACTCTTGGGTTTGACTTTTAAAGTTTTTATTACTTATTTCGGCAGTTCTAGGGATGAGCTTTTTGGAAGTAGATTGTACCTATTAACTTACTTTATCTTTTATCTTGTGTAACATACATAGTAAACCTCAATATATGTTCAAACAGAGAAAACAAAACAAAGCAAAACAGAAACAAAACCAAAAAACCCAGGGGTAAGACCTAGGAGAAAGGGGCTGTATAAGAATTTGAAGCTATGGCTATCTTCAGGTGGTACCATCGCAGCCAAAAAATCATGTGTTCCCCCTCATTGCTTTAGCCATCTAGGATCTAGTTCTGTTACAGGAGTATCTTTCTTTGCCCAGCAGCTTCTGTTGTTTATTTTTGAATGAGCTCAAGTACAGGAAATGTATTGATAAATAATATTTCTAATGTACCACAGTCCTCCCTTGAAAAACTCATAAAAACTGTATTGGGGGTAGGGCGTGGTGGCTCACTCCTGTAATCGCAGCACTTTGGGAAGCTGAGGTGGGTGGATAACCTGAGGTCAGGAGTTCTAGAACAGCCTAGCCAACACGATGAAACCTCATCTCTACTAAAAATACAAAAATTAGCTTAGTGTGGTGGCGCGTGCCTGTAATCCCAGTTACTTGGGAGGCTGAGGCGGGAGAATTACTTGAACCTGGGAAGCAGAGGTTGCAGTGAGCCAAGATCATACCATTGCACCCCAGCCTGGGTGACAAGAGTAAAACTGCATCTCAAAAGAAAAAACAAAAAACAAAAATTGTATCGGGAACTGGTGAACCAGTGCTGTGAATCAAAGAAGGTAACAACTAGAGGAATTTAGCCTTTCCCTTTTCCCTCCAACTTCTCTGGAAGAAATACAAATCTTGAAGTAGGCTTCAGGACAGGTGGAAGATTTAATGATCAAATAAATAAGTTTAGGAAATGGTATCTGGTATACTCACCTTTTGGTGATTTATAAAACACATTAACACAGTATTTCCAAGAAGTCCTGTAGTAAAGGCAGTATACAGCTTTGTTTAATGTATTTTTCAAACCTCACGACCCTTTTGTTGAGTAACCATTGAATATTCTTTGGAACAAATATTCCTTGGTTCACACTTTGGGAAATTAGATGACTGCTTTTTAAATTTAATTTTGTATTTATTTTTATTTTAAAAAATAAAGACAGGGTCTTACTGTTTTGCCCAAGCTGGACTCTAACTCCTGGGCTCAAGCAATCCTCCTGCCTCAGCCTCCTAAGTAGCTGGGACTACAGGCATACACCATGGTGCCAGGCTACTAGACCATTGCTTTTGATGTATTTTAATATCAAAGCTTCAAGTAAAATATAGATATTCTTGAGTGCAAAGAAGTATAAAGGCATCCTGAAAAGCAAATTGTTACACCTTCCTTCTCATTGTTATTATTCTGCTTTCTAAATATTAATGTGCCCTTTGCATATGGTTTGCTGGTACAGGATGTAGTTTTTGAGTAGTGTATCATTATGGAAGATGCTATGTAATGGCAATTTCTATAGAAAATTTTTTTCTTCTTTTACTTTTGGGTGGGCAATTTCGTTATTTGTGGTTGTATCGCAATAAATGTTTTGGAAGAGTACTAAGCTAAGTATTTTTAGAAAATGGGTGCAAAATGTTGGGGATGAAGATAGTTTGTTGTGAAGTTGTGTCATTAGTTTTAGAGACTGGGAGAGTTTATCACTGAAAAGGAGCTCCACGCCATAGAGTAGAATTGGTCCTTTCCCTGTCCTGTTTGCTGCCACTTGCAAGACTAGGAGAAACAAGTAGGTGAAAGAGCTCAACCTGTTACTTGGTAGACCTCTCTGGGAATCAGTGCCTTGAAAACATTTAGCCCTAGGGCTAACAGTTACCACAGGTGTTGAGCTTCTGAGCTAGACTAGCTGTGGGACAAATAATGAAAAAAACAAAGCATTGGCACAATATACCTCTTGATGATAATCACCTTTCCAAATTAATTTTATTACTGCATCTTAGTGTACTATCTCATTCATTCTCATAACATTTCTGTTACATAGTTGAGAGAGTAACTTAACTATGTTAAGTTAACTAAGTTAACTATGTCAATAAGAATTCTCTGATCTGGGAGCTAAGGCATAAACTTAACAAATGTGCTGTAATTCATATGGCTGTTTCAATTACAGGATCAAACCTGGAATCCAGGTCTCCTAAACAATTGTTCTTTTTGCTAACTGCATTTACTGAAGTTTGTTTTGATGTGTTTAAATACATTTTTAAATAAATACATGTATTTGTATTGAAGTTTTATGGCTTAGATAATTAAATGGCCAGGAAAGAGTATTGCTTTTTCCCTTAAAATCAGAAAAATTAGGCTTAGAAAGATGACCTTACCTAGTGTTGTATACTTTGCAGGTGAGAGCTGTGACTAGAATTTAGCCCTTTTTTGTCCACCGTTTCCCTGAGAAACCAAGATGTTGATAGATAGTATCTTTACTAGATGCCAGTAATTATATATTGAACAGAACTCAATCTCTTCCTGAGTCTTCAATCCAATTTTTTTTTTTTTTTACTTTTAAAAATATTTTAATTTTTTTGAGACAGTTTCACTCTCTGTCATCCAGGCTGGAGGGCAGGGGCACTATACCGGCTCACTGCAACCTCTGCCTCCTGGGTTCAAGCGATTCTTGTGCCTCAGCCTCCCAAATAGCTGAGACTACAGGCGCGTGCTACCATGCCTGGCTAATAAGTGATCCACCTGTCTCAGCCTCCCAAAGTGCTGGGGTTATAGCTGTGAGCCACTGTGCCCGGCCAACCCTATCTAGTAAGGTTAAGTTTTCAGATTTTGAAGGACATCAAACTTTTCTTCCAGATCAGGTTTTACACCAGAATTATACTGGTCCACTTTATTTGAACACATGACTTTAATTGGATGCCTTTTGAGGGGCCTAAGTCATGGATCTAGAAAAGGTGACTGATCTTTCTTTTCATAGGAATCGGGAGAGAATTAGGGCAATGACTATGACGATATACCAGTTGTGGGACGACAGCATGAGGTCATGCAAGGAGAAATGAGAAAGAACTTGCCTTTGGCAGGAACAGGGAGCAATCTAGTTAACACTGGAGCACTGAATTGAAAAGCATAGTTAGCTCTGTTTCTAGGCCCAGGCTGGGCACTTGACATTGTTTCCTACGTTAGACCAGTGAGCTGGGAATGACAGCTCACTGGAGGAGAGAGCGCAGCAAAGATCCAGGAAATACAAATTATAGTCAGTTTATTAATCTAATTAAGTAGAACAATTATTGAGTCCCTTGTTGACACTATCTCTTAATTGAGCTCTTTGAAATTAATATGATCTCCTGTAATCCCAGCACTTTGGGAGGCTGAGGCAGGCAGATCACTTGAGGTCAGGATTTTGAGACCAGCCTGGCCAACATGGTGAAACCTCCATCTCTACTAAACATACAAAAAATTAGCTGGGCATAGTGTTGCATGCCTGTATAATCTCAGCTACCCGGGAGGCTGAGGTAGGTGAATTACTTGAACTCGGGAGGTGGAGGTTGCAGTGAGCCAGATTGGGCCACTACATTCCAGCCTGGGTGACAGAGCAAGACTATCTAAAAAAAAAAAAAGAAAAAAAGAAAGAATTACTGTAATATAATGTACCACACTAGCCCAGACAATGTGCTGACTTCAGAAGGCAAATTCAGTGTAAATTGACTCTTTACCAATGTAAGAAGTGACACTGCATTTAGACTGAATTAGATCAAGGATAGGACAGTGGTTCTCAAAACTTTAGAAAGGACCAGAATCACCTGGAGGGCTTATTAAAAAACATTGTTGGTACCCACTTCTAGAGGTTCTGTTTTGATTTTGCATTTTGAACAAATGTTTAGGTTGATGCTGTTGTTGGTACTGCTGGTCCTTGGATCGTCCTTTTCAGACCCACTGATCTAGGACAAAAAGTTGAAGCAAGTATAACTGTTAAATTCCTCCTGATTAAGGTCTTCACAGGGAAGGGAGAAAACATTAACATTTAAGCCTCTACTCTGTCAAAATCATCTTGTGCCAGATGATTTGGTAGTCACTGTTTAACTTAACCCTTGAAACTACTCTGCAAAGTAGTCCTTGGCCCATTTTCCCTCAAACATACTCCAATGAAAAACTGGCTAGAATAATTCTTTCTTAAATGACAGCTTTTACTTATAACTGAAAGAATAATGTTAGGATATACCATGACAAATGTGATTTTATTTCATGTAGATGATACGTTAAGTCACATTGCTGACTATTATGTATTCATTACTCTTCTTGTTGACTTATGAGAGACATAAAATGTAGATTAATTTAGCAGTAATGATTATACAATAGATGGAATTAAATTTTGAGATATGTTTTCTCATAAAGAACATAAAATGAATGAGAATTTGACTTTAAAAATCAGCATATTACATCTTTCAGATCACAGAAAAAATGAGCCTATGATAATTTTGTGAGTTTTTTTTAGTGTTGCCAATTTGTTATTTACCAACTCCATTTTAGAAAAATACAAGAGGAGGAATGGTAAATTATAGAATAGTCAGTATTAAGATGTGACCGAATCCTTGATAACTCAACCGTCAGACTTACTCATTTAAAGCACAGTATTCTCTGTTAATATTGTTTTTAAAAAGTCAGCCTCTTTTTTAAAAGTCAACTTGTTTTTAATGGAACTCAGTGAAGTTACTTGTGTTGTTTGACAGACCACATCGCACAGAGTTACTAAAAAATAAAAGTGGTGATCTAAGCAGTTGAATTGGAAGCACTCTGGGGAAACCTGCTGTTTATTGTGAAAATCATCTTTGGTCTTGGAATTAAAAGGAAAGCTGGAAAGGAATTTACAAACGAGAAAAAAAAGAAGTTTGGAATTGGATTCACAGGATCTGGGCTTGGAAATGCCTCAGGTAAATCAAACAGAGTAGGTGCAAAGTTTTTTATTTTCCCACTACAGAAAGTCAAAACCTTTGGTTCTATAAATTTCTACATCTTAACACGACTTTGCATACTACCTTTTTAAGATATCTTATTTCTGATCTCAGCTAGTTTTGAGTACATGTTCTTTCTTCCATTGCTTTCTATGTTTTATTTTGCTATCACCTGAAGTTCTATGAGTTCTCCATAGGTAGTATGGTGAACAGGTAGAAGGTGGACAGATCTGCTGGCTTTATGGAGTAAAACCAACTCCCCTGAAAATTAATCTGCCATAGCAATCCCATTTCTCTCTCCTCACTCTTCCTATTTCCCAGTTCTTACCTTTCGTTTATGCCAGCTGAATTTAGAAGTAATTAAGAGGAAATAGTGAGAGACTTCAGGCCCCCTCACCTCACCCCTCTCATCTCTCTCTCTCTCGTTTTTTTTTTTTTTTTTTTTTTTTGAGGTAGAGTCTATCTGTGTCACCAGGGTGGGGTGCAGTGGCGCAATCTCAGCTCACTGCAATCTCTGCCTCCCAGGTTCAAGCGATTCTCCTGCCTCAGCCTCCCAAGTAGCCGAGACTACAGGCACACACCACCATGCCCAGCTAATTTTTGTATTTTTAGTAGAGATGGGGTTTCACCATGTTGGCCAGGATGGTCTCAATCTCCTTACCTCGTAATCCACCCATTTCAGCCTTCCAGAGTGCTGGGATTAAAGGTGTGAGCCACTGTGCTCATCTCTCTCTTTCTCGTAGACACACACACATACATATGTGGGCATATGTAAACGCCTCCCCACAAAATATATCTAAGAATGATTATATCTATTTATATTATGGCAACTACTCTGAATTGATCAGTTTTGGTTTGAGGCAATCACTGAAACAATCAATGAAGCCCTGTTATGTTAGTTCCTATTCATCTTTTCTAAACTCCTTATCTAAACTCTGTTTCTTCTCCAGTGTTTAGCTCCTGCCCCTCCCGTTAGTTTCAGTGGTGGGGAGAAACCTAGAAGTAATGAGTGGGTGGCTTTTTGTGTTGCCATACTGAGCTATCCCTTGAGCACAGGGAATCAACAATTTGCTGGGATTGTTTGGTGACTTGGAGACAGGCAGAAAAGGCAAAGAAAGGGAACTTGGTAATGGATGTTGAAAAGACCGGCAGCTGGCTGGGCATGGTGGCTCACAGCTGCAATCCCAGCACTTTGGGAGGCTGAAATGGGTGGATTTCGAGGTAAGGAGATTGAGACCATCCTGGCCAACATGGTGAAACTCAGTCTTTACTAAAAATACAAAAATTAGCTGGGTGTGGTGGCATATGTGGTTGTAATCCCAGCTACTCGGGAGGCTGAGGAAGGAGAATCACTTGAACCCAGGAGGCGGAGGTTGCAGTGAGCTGAGATCGTGCCACTGCACTCCAGCCTGGAGACAAAGTGAGACTCTGTCTGGGAAAAAATAAATAAATAAATAAGACCAGACCAGTGGCCTACGGCCACCCCAACCTCTGTGACAGATGGACTGCTTATGCCCTTTTACAGTGGTTGCCCATTCAAGGTTTAGTTTTATATTTATTGAGTACTTGCATTTGGAGCTTAAATTTTAAACTTATTTTCTTAAGCTAACTTTTTCTAGGAAGAAAGGTCCCATAGGCCTGGAAGTGTTGGGAGAAGATAAGAGAAATAAAAATAAAATGAGATGGGAAGTACCAATGAAGAAAAATATGATGAGAAAGTCTATGAGAAGGCCAGTTTGTGGAAGATAGAAGGTATACAAAAAGAATAAGCAAATAGATTAATACCATTTAAAAACATTCTGCAGAAACTTGCAAAAACAGAAAAACTAAAAAAGAAATTTTTGGCTGGGCACAGTGGCTCACACTTATAATCCCAGCACTTTGGGAAGCTAAGGCAGGCGGATCACTTGAAGTCAGGAGTTTGAGACCAGCCTGGCCAACATATAGTGAAACCTCATCTCTACTAAAAAATAGAAAAATTAGCTGGACATGGTAGCACGTACCTCTAGTCCCAACTACTTGAGAAACTCAGGCAGAATAATTACTTGAACCTGGGAAGCAGAGGTTGCAGTGAGCTGAGATTGTGCCACTGCAATCCAGCCTGGGCGACAGAGTGAGAATTCGTCTCACCAAAAAAAACACACAAAAAAACTTAAAAAAAAATTCTTTCTCTTAACTCATTTGGATTTGGTTAAAAAAAAAAAAAAAACAAGAAAAATTCTTTCTCATTCTCTTTATTCATCTTAGATTTCAAAGTGAGGCCTTTCTACTATTTGACCCACTTCAGGAGGGTGAGCCCAGACTTGACCCTGGAGGGATTCATATAGATATTAAAACGTAAAAAGAAGTTGGAGAAAAAACAAGAAGGAGAATTAATGCTGGGTCTCAGTACTTTTTTTCCCCTTTACTTATTATGGAATGGACTGTGCCCTTTTCAGGAATCAGGATTAAGGCTACACAGCTGATGCCCAAGTTACTGGTTTTACCAAGGAGATTTTTTGGTATTTAGTTGATTCTGTTTCCATTATGTTCCTGCAGGCATTGGTTGTAGTAGATAGTGATGCCCGGGCTGAATTTTAATTTTTAATCTTTAGTTTGATTTAAACATTACTTTTAGTATGATGCCGACACCAGCTGTGCAGAAAGAGCTCTGGAGAGTTGTTCATAGCAGCACACACCTGCGGCTCTTCTTTGATTCTGGAGGCTCCAGGGCAACCGACATTGTTTCATCAAATACATTTTTTTTTTTTTTTTTTGAGAAGGAGTTTCGTTCTTGTCACTTAGGCTGGAGTGCAATGGCACGATCTTGGCTTACTGCAAACTCTGCCTCTCAGGTTCAAGTGATTCTTCTGCCTCAGCCTCCCAAGTAGCTGGGATTACAGGCGCTCGCCACCATGCCTGGCTAATTTTTGTATTTTGAGTAGAGATGGGATTTCACTATGCTGGTCAGGCTGATCTCAAACTCCTGATCTCAGGTGACCCACCTGCCTTGACCTCCCAAAGTGGTGGGATTACAGGTGTGAGCCACTGTGCCTGGCCATCAAATACATTCTTTAGGCCTTTCTTTAGGCTTTTAAGTGCAGAACACTCCCACATACCTGACAGCCTTTAGGTCACGGGCCAGCTTTTTAGCAGTTTCTGGAGTGATAGCTTGTTTGTTCCTGGCAAGTTTCTCAATTGTAGAGGGATCATCTCTGAGATCAGTTTAGGCCCCAACAAGCAAGAAAGGAGTCTTTGGATAGTGGTGAGTTACCTCAGGCACCATGTTTTCTTTTACATTTTCAAATGGAGATGGAGACTGCTGAAAAACAGACTAGAAATACATCTGTTTGTGAATAACTCAGTGGTCCTAATCTGTCATAATCCTCTTGCCCTGCAGTATCAAAAAGTCCGAGAGTATATGGTTCTCTACCAGTCATAACTGTGACTGCATGGTTGTCAAAAACAGTCAGTACATTATTGGGTATACTTGGAGATTTGTCGTGTAGGATATCAGGAGAGATGCTTTACCAATAGCACCATCACCCACAACACAGTTAATTGTCTGCATTGCTGAAATAGTTTTGTATCCACTTTAAATATTTCAAATCTGATGTTGACCTTCGCTTCTCCACCAGGGCATTGTCAGCACTCTTATTTTTTTTCTATTTTTGGGTATTTTCCTAATTTAAGTCTACAGTTCAGTGCTAGCCAAAGCTCTTAAATATACTATACAGTAGGAAAAGTATAGAAATGTTTTCTGAAAAGAATAAGTTACTTAGTGGGAGTAGGGTTGGAGCTCATATGTGATACATTGGTCTCAAAGTAATCTTTAACTTTCTAAAATAAAAATCACTCTGTTGTAGCCTAGTGTAAGCGGAATGGATCCGCCTTTTGGGGATGCCTTTCGAAGCCACACCTTTTCGGAACAAACTCTGATGAGCACAGATCTCTTAGCAAACAGTTCAGATCCAGATTTCATGTATGAACTGGTAAGCAGCATTTTCTTGGTGTTGGACTTGATTGATTTGGGATAAAAGTTTGTGGGAGAGTTTTTTATTTATAAATGCCTGAAAAGAAAAAAAAAAGGTGTTTGGGACAAGTTTAATTCTTATGATTATACATCTAGTAATTTTATTTATTTTTATTTTCATTTTTTTTGAGACAGAGTCTCACTCTGTCACCCAGGCTGGAGTGCAGTGGCATAATCTTGGCTCATCGCAATCTCCGCCTCCAAGGTTCGAGTGATTTTCCTGCCTCAGCCTTCCAAGTAGCTGGGATTACAGGCATGTGTCACCACATCCAGTTAATTTTTGTATTTTTAGTGGAGACAGGGTTTCACCATGTTGGCCAGGCTGGTCTCAAACTTCTGACCTCAGGTAATCGCCCACCTTGGCCTCCCGAAGTGCTGGGATTATAGGCATGAGCCATTGCACCTGGCCTACATCTAGTAATTTTAAAAGTATGCATGAACCCATCAAAAATTGTAAAAGATTATCTAAATATCTTCAGATCTAGTTTTTGATAAAGAGAATAGGCAACTTTTTTTTTTTCCTCTGCATCTAAAGGCTAAAGGGCTTTTCAGCAGGAAACTATGGAATAATAACATTGAGCAAGGCATGTGACATAAAGAATGTGACACAAAAATAGCAATTCCAAGCAGGATCTGAATATACTTACATTTATTCTTGAGGGAAATAGACACTTAAAATTCATAAGAAAAACATTTTAGAACTGTTTTAATTATATAAAATTGAAGCAACACAGAAATATATAAAAACTGGAAAACTGAATGCTCAAAAGCATAAATCTACTAAAAATTATTGAATTGGGGCCAGGCGTGGTGGTCCACGCCTGTAATCCCAGCACTTTGGGAGGCCAGGGCAAGTGGATCATGAGTTCAAGAGATTGAGACCATCCTGCCCAATGTGGTAAAACCCCATCTCTACTAAAAATACAAAAAATAGCTGGGTGTGGTGGCAGGTGCCTTCGTCCTAGTTACTCGGAGGCCGAGGCAGGAAATGTCTTGAACCCGGGAGGTGGAGGTTGCAGTGAGTTGAGATTCTGCCATTGCACTCCAGCCTGGGCAACAAATTGAGACTCTGTCTCAAAAAAAAAAAAAACATTAACTCTGGAAGACTGAAAATTTCCTCATTTTCTTCCCATAGCTCCACCTTCCAAACCTTTGATCAAAATATAAACATATGTGTATACTTTTTTTTTGGCATATACTTTTTTTTTTTTTTTTTTTGAGACAGTTTCACTCTTGTTGCCCTGGCTGGAATGCAATGGCGCAATCTCGGCTCACTGCATCCTCTGCCTCCCTGGTTCAAGTGATTCTCCTGCTTCATTCAGCCTTCTGAGTAGCTGGGATTGCAGGGATGTGCCACCACACCTGGCTAATTTTGTATTTTTAGTAGACATGGTGTTTCTCCATGTTGGTCAGGCTGGTCTCACACTCCCGACCTCTGGTGATCTACCAGCCTCAGCCTCCCAAAGTGCTGGGATTACAGGCATAAGCCACCATGTCCGGCCTGTATATACTTTTTTTGTCTTTTTTGAGACGGAGTTTCGCTCTTGTTACCCACGCTGGAGTGCAGTGGCACAATCTCGGCTCACTGCAACCTCCACCTCCTGGGTTCAAGCAATTCTCCTGCCTCAGCCTCCTGAGTATCTGGGACTACAGGCGTGTGCCACCATGCCCAGCTAATTTTTGTATTTTTAGTAGAGACGGGGTTTCACCATGTTAACCAGGATGGTCTCGATCTCTTGACCTCGTGATCCACCCGCCTCGGCTTCCCAAAGTGCTGGGATTATAGGCGTGAGCCACCGTGCCCGGCCCTGTATATACTTTTTAATTGGATAATATAGATAACAGTTTTCCGTAACTTGCTCTTTTAAAAATAAAAATGGCTGGGTGTAGTGGCTCACACCTGTAATCCAGCACTTTGGGAGGCTGAGGTGGTTGGATCACGAGGTCAGGAGATTGAGACCATCCTGGTTAACATGGTGAAACCCCGTCTCTACTAAAAATTAGCCAGGCGTGGTGGTATGTGCCTGTACTCTCAGCTACTTGGCAGGCTGAGGCAGGAGAATCGCTTGAAGCGGGAGGTGGAGGTTGCAGTGAGCCAAGATCGTGCCACTGCACTCCAGCCTGGGCAACAGAGCAAGACTCCATCTCACACACACACACACACACACACACACACACACACACACACACACACACACACACACACACGTAGTAGGCAGTCTGTTTTGTTTGTACATTAAGAGCTAAGCTGCATTCATTTCAGTGGCTTCAGAGTCTTAACTGGCATTTAAAATTGGCATCTCCAGTGGCACACGCCTGTAATCTCACCACTTTGGGCGGCAAAGGTGGGTGGATCACTTGAGGTCATGAGTTTGAGACCAGCCTGGCCAACATGGTGAAAACTCATCTGTACTAAAAATACAGAAACAAAATTATATCCCTAAAATTCGTGAAGAGTATTTTACTCTGCCTGCCCAAGTGTTGTTATAAGGTTTTGAAAAGATCTTACCATTTTGTGGCTGAATTTCAACTCTCTTTAGATTGCTCTTTGCTTCCATATTAAGTTCCCACTTAAGACATCTTCTGTAATGAAGTTGTCTTCATTATTTGCTTTTTTGTTTATTTTTCATTTTTATTACTATTTTAAATTCTTCTCTCTCACATATTACATTGTTTGCTGTTTAATTGAAGCTTCCTCCACCCCCGCCACTAAGGAGATTCCAAAATCCTTCTATAATATCAAGAAATGCAAACTTTTTTTAGGAAGAGTGTTTATGGTAAAACTAAACAGCTCTTGATATTTGGATCATACCTGAGCCTCTCAAGGGAGACACTTTCCCTCTTTTTTAAATTTAATTTTTAATTGTTTTTCATTTATTTTTACTCTTCTTTTTCCTGCCTAAGGAAATGATAATAAAGTGTCATGTCAGTAGCCCTTATGTTAAAACAGACCAGAAGTCAAGTCTTGATTTATCAATTTGATGTATGGAGGTACATATTTCCTTCTTAAAATATGATGTGCAATTTCTTTTTTAAAACCTTTTTCAGGATAGAGAGATGAACTACCAACAGAATCCTAGAGACAACTTTCTTTCTTTGGAGGACTGCAAAGACATTGAAAATCTGGAGTCTTTCACAGATGTCCTGGATAATGAGGGTGCTTTAACCTCAAACTGGGAACAGTGGGATACATACTGTGAAGACTTAACAAAGTATACCAAACTAACCAACTGTGACATCTGGGGAACAAAAGAAGTGGATTACTTGGGTCTTGATGACTTTTCTAGTCCTTACCAAGATGAAGAGGTTATAAGTAAAACTCCAACTTTAGCTCAACTTAATAGTGAGGACTCACAGTCTGTTTCTGATTCCCTTTATTATCCCGATTCACTTTTTAGTGTCAAACAAAATCCCTTACCCTCTTCATTTCCTGGTAAAAAGATCACAAGCAGAGCAGCTGCTCCTGTGTGTTCTTCTAAGACTCTGCAGGCTGAGGTCCCTTTGTCAGACTGTGTCCAGAAAGCAAGTAAACCCACTTCAAGCACACAAATCATGGTGAAGACCAACATGTATCATAATGAAAAGGTGAACTTTCATGTTGAATGTAAAGACTATGTAAAAAAGGCAAAGGTAAAGATCAACCCAGTGCAGCAGAGCCGACCCTTGTTGAGTCAGGTTCACAAAGATGCAGCAAAGGAGAACACCTGCTACTGTGGTGCAGTAGCAAAAAGACAAGAGAAAAAAGGGCTGGAGCCTCTTCAAGGTCATGTCACTCCCGCTTTGCCTTTTAAAGAAACCCAGGAACTATTACTCAGTCCCCTGCCCCAGGAAGGTCCTGGGTCAATCGCAGCAGGAGAGAGTAGCAGCCTTTCTGCCAGTACATCAGTCTCGGATTCATCCCAGAAAAAAGAAGAGCACAATTATTCTCTTTTTGTTTCTGACAACTTGGGTGAACAGCCAACCAAATGCAGTCCTGAAGAAGATGAGGAGGATGAGGAAGATATTGATGATGAGGACCATGATGAAGGATTTGGCAGTGAGCATGAACTGTCTGAAAATGAAGAGGAGGAAGAAGAAGAAGAGGATTATGAAGATGACAAGGATGATGATATTAGTGATACTTTCTCTGAACCAGGTATTATAATGCTTGCAAGCTTACCAGACAGACCTTTCTATTACTATTTTGAAATAGAAAGGTTTTGCCGGGCATGGTAGCTCACACCTGTAATCCTAGCACTTTGGGAGGCTGAGGTGGGCAGATCACAAGGTCAGGAGATCGAGACCATCCTGGCTAACATGGTGAAACCGTCTTTTAAAAAAAAAAAAAGGTTTTGTTTAGATGATTTCTCTTAGTTTGGGAATTAAATGACTTAAATCTTCGCTTGGATATGTGATTGGTTTCTCTATTCAAATAGCTCTAAAATGATGACTTTTGCTCACATAAGGGTTCATAAGCTGATTCCTTGAGGGCTTATTTATTATTTTTTTATTTCTTTTTTTTTTTTTTTTTTT